TTTGTTCATATTTAATGAAGGTTAATGCATTTGTTATTTATCGTCTATGGTATGCTGTTTTTCACTGCTAATGAACTGAGAACCGTTTCAAATCAGATGTGCACAATGTTGAACCAGAAGCTTTAAAAAAACTCTCGAGTCCCTGATATATATTTTCATTTTACGCTTTGTACAAATGCCAAATACAGTTGTATTTAAAATGATTTTATCGAAATGAACATTACCTAATTGTTAACAATTTTTAAGTAACCTTTTTCTGCGTCTACCTGCAGTTGTTACCACAGCACATACACACAGGTAGCGTGTTCATATTTAAAGTTTCATTCATAATATATTACCGCAATAACTCTTTTCAGTCAGTATATTACCCCTATATTTTGGCTGCAACGGGTAACTTTATAGAGAGAGTCGGCGTATTTATATAAAATACTCCTGTCATCCCTTACCACCTGACTGCCAGTGATATAGCGAGTACCCGCTCAACCGTAGGCAGCTGTGACAATGAGCTATGCGTAAAAGTTAAAAATAACCAAAAAGGGCATCTACGATTCAAGATGGCGACACTGGGTATGCTGTTGGTACTCCTGTCCACTACAGGTGAGATTTACTAACAGTTCTATATCCTATGTCAGCTAATTATACCACCATAATTTGTATTACTTGATGGACGACAGACGACGTCATAGATGGTCTCGTATCAGGCTCGTGTGTACCCGTTCTTGTAATTAAACTGTAGTCGGTCTGTAATCGACGCATATGTGTAACAGTTTTATAAAGTCCTGTTTATTACAAAGTCGTGTGTCGTTATACAGGTGCGCCCATGTCTTCGCATACATGTTTACATGTGTGTCCTGCAGCATGCTTCAGTATTCCTTTACAACAGCTGGCCGACCACTACTTTAATGTCATTTTATATATATATCACAATTCCGTATGTGGTTTGTTATTGATCGGCGATACGCCTCGGGACACTTACCGACTACCAACCCTGTAATAAACAGACGTATTTGCTTTAAACATCTACACACAGGTATTTGATTTGGATGCAAATTGGCCTCGGTACACTTACCGACTACCAACTCTGTAACAAACAAGACGTATTTGCTTTAAACGTCTATACAGGTATCTTATTTGAATGCAAATTGGAGATATACTATGCACATAATTAACTGACAATTACGGAACTGCTAACAATATCATACCCCGGGTAGGGTTTGTTTCCACTATCATAATTCCGGAAAAATATTTGATAAATTCATTCAGACCAGTACAATACATGACAAATCGTAAACGGAAATGTTTTTTTTTCTTTGAAATGAAATACATATGTTGATTTTGAGATGTTGAATTTATCAAATCTTTAAATACCCGTTAGTTAGACACGATCGTGAATGAGGAGCGACCTTCTGTTGACATAAACAATGTCAAAAAATGAAAATTGATGAACCCACAGGCACCCCAGAGTTGTTGATTTAGCGAAGTCAAAGCGTATGCACACATCACCGACCATGCTTGTCCTACTTTACTCGGGCCCAATATCCGACGCTTAGCTGTTAAAGCGTTTTGGTTGCTTTTCTATTGTGAATGCAGGACAATAAGTTAGTGACTGTATTTCAAGGTTCAATCGGAAAACGTCTAATATATATACTTCGGGTAATATATAGAGTAGAAAAAGCAGCTGGTGAAGTGTGAACAAATCAACACCTCGCAGATATAACTGGTGTTCATGTAGGGGATGGTAATGCGTTGTCAAACTGAGAACGGTTAAACTGTCATTAAGTCTTTCGTTACTTTGTAGAGACATTTGAAGTGACCCCTTTACTGCTCATTCTAAAGAATATTTATTCTTTTATGGTGGTGTATGTATTGCGTGTATTCATTTAACATTTTGAAATTATGATGCTGGATACGATCTTATCCGAGATAGGTCATTTTGAGTATTTTAAGTATTGTTTTAGTGTGTCATATTTACTTTAAACATATTTTTTCCTCTTTTTTCTTTTTTTTTTAAATTTGAGGCAAATTCTTACGTCTTTATTATTACCATTGTTTTAAAATATATTTTGATGTCTACATAACTATCGGTGTCTTGCACGGATATATGCTTTATGTCTTCATTGTTATCAGTGTGTTGTACGGATATTATTGTACGTCTACATTACTGTCAGTGTGTCACGTATTAATAGTGTGGATACGGCTGTTCTGTGCAGTAACATATATCCTTTCGACGGCCGCTATTACATATCGTTGCACAGCCAGAGCGTATTAATACGCACCGAAAAATTGGCTCTCTGAGAGCCGCAATAGTTTGTCGTAGAAAGGCCGTGGATTCTTTTCCAGTATTTGCTATAATAGTCGTTTTAAAATTGGATTATTTAATAAGTGCGTTCATCAGAAGGAGTATTCTGTCTATGAAGGCGTTTTTTAAAACATTATCAATTATTTCTTTTTAGTTTTTGTTGTTTTCTTTTTTTATTTAGATCGCATTGCGTAATTAAAAAGCAATGAAAAGTAATATTTTATATTCTGACAAAAGTTACTTTTTGACATTCCATATTTTTGTGTAAATAAGTTATTTTTTTCCCGCTAATATAAATAATATCGTATACAATTAACTGAACATACATTACAAAATATTTAACAACGGAGAATAAATGTTAATTGGAAGTTAATTACAGTTCAGTAATTAGTCTCAATAACGCATGAATACGTTATGGACCTCCTGTTTATAAATGCATATATTGCTCGTTTTCATCATTTTTACGCTACGGACCTCTTTTAGAATTTGAATATTCGCCTATCTCGAACACAGCTACAGCGGTTATATGCGTAAAAGTAGAATCATGGTAGAGCAGCTTTTACGTACCTAGACGTATCTATCCATAATAAGTGTCTTATTGAAACTATTACAAGATGAAAAATTTCGTATTTGTACGCTGCGGGTGCTTTATGCAATATGGTTTAATAATAATTTCTTACAGAACTGTACCTTGTGAATTTGCCGTATTTTTCTTTAAATACGGATATATACGTCAGGGTTTTCAAACAGTTGACATTTGCTTTGTTTATGCACGTACTTACCAGGTGTATTAGCGATTCCTTGTATATTTTCTAGTACGGATTTATACGTTGTAGTCCTCGGCAGCTAACCGATATAGTGCTTCAGTACGGATCAGTACACAGTGGGTTTAGACAGTACTAATTTGAGTACGGATCAGTACGTTGCGGCGATATGTAGTACTACCAACGTTGCGTTTTTAGTACGGATACTTACTCTCTGGTATTATGCACCTCATTCTTTTTACTAATTTGCGATACGGATTGGTACGCTGTGGTTTATACAGTACCATAAGTTTGTGTGTTAATACGGATTTTTACGTTGCAGTTTTTATAAGTTTTTCATATTTTGAGTTTTCAGTACGCATTGGTACGCTGTGGTTTGATGTAGTACTCT